AGCCCACCTCGCTCTCGTCAAAACACACATGGATATACCTAGTCGTGATATGAAGGTAACACAGCCCACCTCGCTCTCGTCAAAACACACATGGATATACCTAGTCATGATATGAAGCGAACACAGCCCACCTCGCTCTCGTCAAAACACACATGGATATACCTAGTCGTGATATGAAAGCAACACAGCCCACCTCGCTCTCGTCAAAACACACATGGATATACCTAGTCGTGACATGAAGGGAACACAGCCCACCTCGCTCTCGACAAAACACACATGGATATACACAGTCGTGATATGAAGGGAACACAGCCCACCTCGCTCTCGTCAAAACACACATGGACGTACCTAGTCGTGACATGAAGGGAACCCAGCCCACCTCGCTCTCGTCAAAACAAACATGGATATACCTAGTCGTGATATGAAGCGAACACAGCCCACCTCGCTCTCGTCAAAACACACATGGATATACCTAGTCGTGATATGAAGGGAACACAGCCCACCTCGCTCTCGTCAAAACACACATGGATATACCTAGTCGTGATATGAAGGTAACACAGCCCACCTCGCTCTCGTCAAAACACACATGGATATACCTAGTCATGATATGAAGCGAACACAGCCCACCTCGCTCTCGTCAAAACACACATGGATATACCTAGTCGTGATATGAAAGGAACACAGCCCACCTCGCTCTCGTCAAAACACACATGGATATACCTAGTCGTGACATGAAGGGAACACAGCCCACCTCGCTCTCGACAAAACACACATGGATATACACAGTCGTGATATGAAGGGAACACAGCCCACCTCGCTCTCGTCAAAACACACATGGACGTACCTAGTCGTGACATGAAGGGAACCCAGCCCACCTCGCTCTCGTCAAAACACACATGGATATACCTAGTCGTGATATGAAGGGAACACAGCCCACCTCGCTCTCATCAAAACACATATGGATATACCTAGTCGGGATATGAAGCGAACACAGCCCACCTCGCTTTCGTCAAAACACACATGGATATACCTAGTCGTGATATCAAGGGAACACAGCCCACCTCGCTCTCGTCAAAACACACATGGATATACCTAGTCGTGATATGAAGGGAACACAGCCCACCTCGCTCTCGTCAAAACAAACATGGATATACCTAGTCGTGATATGAAGCGAACACAGCCCAACTCGCTCTCGTCAAAACACACATGGATATACCTAGTCGTGATATGAAAGGAACACAGCCCACTTCGCTCTCGTCAAAACACACATGGATATACCTAATCGTGATATGAAGCGAACACAGCCCACCTCGCTCTCGTCAAAACACACATGGATATACCTAGTCGTGATATGAAGGGAACACAGTCAGCCCACCTCGCTCTCGTCAAAACACACATGGATATACCTAGTCGTGACATGAAGGGAACACAGCCCACCTTGCTCTCGTCAAAACACACATGGATATACCTAGTCGTGACATGAAGCGAACACAGCCCACCTCGCTCTCGTCAAAACACACATGGATATACCTAGTCGTGACATGAAGGGAACAGAGCCCACCTCGCTCTCGTCAAAACACACATAGATATACCTAGTCGTGATATGAAGCGAACACAGCCCACCTCGCTCTCGTCAAAACACACATGGATATACCTAGTCGTGATATGAAGGGAACACAGCCCACCTCGCTCTCGTCAAAACACATATGGATATACCTAGTCGGGATATGAAGGGAACACAGCCCACCTCGCTTTCGTCAAAACACACATGGATATACCTAGTCGTGATATCAAGGGAACACAGCCCACCTCGCTCTCGTCAAAACACACATGGATATACCTAGTCGTGATATGAAGCGAACACAGCCCACCTCGCTCTCGTCAAAACACACATGGATATACCTAGTCGTGATATGAAGCGAACACAGCCCACCTCGCTCTCGTCAAAACACTCATGGATATACCTAGTCGTGATATGAAGGGAACACAGTCCACCTCGCTCTCGTCAAAACACTCATGGATATACCTAGTCGTGATATGAAGCGAACACAGCCAACCTCGCTCTCGTCAAAACACACATGGATATACCTAGTCGTGATATGAAGGGAACACAGCCCACCTCGCTCTCGTCAAAACACACATGGATATACCTAGTCGTGATATGAAGCGAACACAGCCCACCTTGCTCTCGTCAAAACACACATGGATATACCTAGTCGTGATATGAAGCGAACACAGCCCACCTCGCTCTGGTCAAAACACACATGGATATACCTAGTCGTGATATGAAGGGAACACAGCCCACCTCGCTCTTGTCAAAACACATGGAAATACCTAGTCGCGATATGAAGGGAACACAGCCCACCTCGCTCTCGTCAAAACACACATGGATATACCTAGTCGTGACATGAAGGGAACACAGCCCACCTCGCTCTCGTCAAAACACACATGGATATACCTTGTGATATCAAGGGAACACAGCCCACCTCGCTCTCGTCAAAACACACATGGACATACCTAGTCCTGACATGAAGGGAACACAGCCCACCTCGCTCTCGTCAAAACACACATGGATATACCTAGTCGTGACATGAAGGGAACACATCCCACCTCGCTCTCGTCAAAACACATATGGATATACCTAGTCGGGATACGAAGCGAACACAACCCACCTCGCTCTCGTCAAAACACACATGGATATACCTAGTCGTGATATGAAGGGAACACAGCCCACTTCGCTCTCGTCAAAACACACATGGATATACCTAGTCGTGATATGAAGGGAACACAGCCCACCTCGCTCTCGTCAAAACACATATGGATATACCTAGTCGTGATATGAAGCGAACACAGCCCACCTCGCTCTCGTCAAAACACACATGGATATACCTAGTCGGGATATAAAGCGAACACAGCCCACCTCGCTCTCGTCAAAACACACATGGATATACCTAGTCGTGATATGAAGAGAACACAGCCAACCTCGCTCTCGTCAAAACACACATGGATATACCTAGTCGTGATATGAAGCGAACACAGCCCACCTCGCTCTCGTCAAAACTAACACGGATATACCTTGTCGTGATATGAAGCGAACACAGCCCACGTCGCTCTCGTCAAAACACATATGGATATACCTAGTCGGGATATGAAGGGAACACAGCCCACCTCGCTCTCGTCAAAACACACATGGATATACCTAGTCGTGATATGAAGGTAACACAGCCCACCTCGCTCTCGTCAAAACACACATGGATATACCTAGTCATGATGTGAAGCGAACACAGCCCACCTCGCTCTCGTCAAAACACACATGGATATACCTAGTCGTGATATGAAAGGAACACAGCCCACCTCGCTCTCGTCAAAACACACATGGATATACCTAGTCGTGACATGAAGGGAACACAGCCCACCTCGCTCTCGACAAAACACACATGGATATACACAGTCGTGATATGAAGGGAACACAGCCCACCTCGCTCTCGTCAAAACACACATGGACGTACCTAGTCGTGACATGAAGGGAACCCAGCCCACCTCGCTCTCGTCAAAACACACATGGATATACCTAGTCGTGATATGAAGGGAACACAGCCCACCTCGCTCTCGTCAAAACACATATGGATATACCTAGTCGGGATATGAAGCGAACACAGCCCACCTCGCTTTCGTCAAAACACACATGGACATACCTAGTCGTGATATCAAGGGAACACAGCCCACCTCGCTCTCGTCAAAACACACATGGATATACCTAGTCGTGATATGAAGGGAACACAGCCCACCTCGCTCTCGTCAAAACAAACATGGATATACCTAGTCGTGATATGAAGCGAACACAGCCCACCTCGCTCTCGTCAAAACACACATGGATATACCTAGTCGTGATATGAAAGGAACACAGCCCACCTCGCTCTCGTGAAAACACACATGGATATACCTAGTCGTGATATGAAGCGAACACAGCCCACCTCGCTCTCGTCAAAACACACATGGATATACCTAGTCGTGATATGAAGGGAACACAGTCAGCCCACCTCGCTCTCGTCAAAACACACATGGATATACCTAGTCGTGACATGAAGGGAACACAGCCCACCTCGCTCTCGTCAAAACACACATGGATATACCTAGTCGTGACATGAAGGGAACACAGCCCACCTCGCTCTCGTCAAAACACACATGGATATACCTAGTCGTCACATGAAGGGAACACAGCCCACCTCACTCTCGTCAAAACACACATGGATATACCTATTCGTGATATGAAGGGAACACAGCCCACCTCGCTCTCGTCAAAACACATATGGATATACCTAGTCGGGATATGAAGCGAACACAGCCCACCTCGCTCTCGTCAAAACACACATGGATATACCTAGTCGTGATATGAAGGGAACACAGCCCACCTCGCTCTCGTCAAAACACACATGGATATACCTATTCGTGATATGAAGCGAACACAGCCAACCTCGCTCTCGTCAAAACACACATGGATATACCTATTCGTGATATGAAGGGAACACAGCCCACCTCGCTCTCGTCAAAACACACATGGATATACCTAGTCGTGATATGAAGCGAACACAGCCCACCTTGCTCTCGTCAAAACACACATGGATATACCTAGTCGTGATATGAAGCGAACACAGCCCACCTCGCTCTCGTCAAAACACACATGGATATACCTAGTCGTGATATGAAGCGAACACAGCCCACCTCGCTCTCGTCAAAACACACATGGATATACCTAGTCGTGATATGAAGCGAACACAGCCCACCTCGCTCTCGTCAAAACACACATGGATATACCTAGTCGTGATATGAAGGGAACACAGCCCACCTCGCTCTCGTCAAAACACACATGGATATACCTAGTCGTGATATGAAAGGAACACAGTCAAACTCGCTCTGGATAACACACATTTAGACATACCCAGCCGTGATGTGACTGGAACACATCCAAACTCCTCCGGTCAATACACACGTATACATACTTAGTCTTGCTCGACACACCCACTGAGTCTCCTTCATAGCGTGGGGCGCAACGTCGGGATGTTTTGTCAGTCTGTTGAACAGGTCGGTGGTCCCACTCTTGCCCTGCCCTATGATGTAGAAGTAGGGCAGGCAACGCAGCACCCTCGTCTCCCCCGATCCCTTCCTGCTGGCTATCTCCGCCAGGGGGGCCCTGCTTGGTTCCATGCCCCAAGGGCAGTGGTTCTGTGTAACGTTGTGCACCCACCAACAGGGGCTGGTAAACTCTGACAGAGGCTGTGGTACTTGCTGTGGATAATAACGTCACACATTGTACACGGTAGAACCCTCATCGTGATATCAGGAACATTGTGTTGTCCATACTCACCAACATCGCTGTCAACGTTGATTAGTTTGTTGTTTAACGCCCCACTCAGCAATATTCCAGCTATATGACGGCGGTCTGTAAATAATCGAGTCTGGACCAGACAACCCAGTGATTAATATCATGAGCATCGATCCACGCAATTGGGATCGATGACATGCATCAACCAAGTCAGCGAGCCTGACCACCCGATCCCGTTAGTCGCCTTTTACGACAAGCATAGTCGCCTTTTACGGCTAGCACGGGTTGCTGAAGACCTGTTCTACCTAGGATCTTCACGGGTCCGCTGTCAACGATGATCCCTTTGGCCAAATATATTTGCATAATTTACGAAATAAGCATATTTTGAGAAATTGGAACAAACGTTATCAGGTAAGGGTGACTTTTTTAACAGTTTAACACAACACAACTAAGTTATGACGATGAGACCAACGACATTACCATTAAACCAGAAGAATAGTACAAGAGAAATACCACGGAATTGGGTGAGTGAGAGCATGTTGTTTAGCTCCGCAGTCGTCTGTATTCCAGCCATATGATCGCGACCTGTAACTGTTCGAGTCTGGACCAAGAAAATCCAAATCAACGGTCCCTTGAAGATTCCAGATTAGAATTGGTCTTCAGCTACCGGTGCTTGTCGCGACTAACGGGATCGGGTGGTCAGGCTCGCTTAATTGGTTGGTGCATGTCATCGTATCCCAATTACGTAGACCGATGCTCATGATGTCAATCACTCGACTTTCTGGTCCAGATTCGATTATGTACAGACCGCCGTCATATAGCTGGAATATTGCTGAGTGCGGCGTTATACAACAAACAAACAAACAAATCTCAATCAACCACCACTGACACGATCTGTTTTGTTGCCTCTGGTAAGCATAGATTGCTGGGACCCTACACATGTGTATCGGCTATTTTAAAATTATTAAAAGGTTCAGTTGTCTACGATTTTCAGCTTATCGCCGAGTTTCGGACGTACTCAAATAATTACCTTGTGTTCCTATGCTGACATTGACAGTGGTAGTGTTAGACCCTCCGAGAACTTGTATCATAGGCAGTTTGGCAGGGTATATAGGTTTTAACAGGGAGTCTATATATTTTAACAGGGAGTGTATATACGTTTTATATATTCCCTTAATTAAGTAAGTTGATTATATCTATTTAAATAAACAGAGTGCTGCTAATACAAATTATAACAGCAGCTGGGGTATCATTACCATGGCCAGCAGCACAGAGTCATGTGCGGGTCAGCGGGTTGTAGTTAATGCCAGAGAATGGCCGGTTGGCCACTGAAGCTTAACTTTGTGGAAGAGGTGCGGGATACTGCAGGCTGACCATGTATGTAACGTAACACGATACATTGCAGTCTGACAGTGAGGGTTAAAGATAGTACGCTTTCTGTTAGTCGGGACGTGACCCTCGGACAGCGGCTAGGCAGATTGGCTCTCTTACGCCTCAGAGATCCTGCTTGGCCATACTTCTATGTAGTTATATAGACATATTAAGATCACGAATAAACGTTGTGGACCCACAGACGGACTTGTGTGTTGTCATAAGAGAAATATCCGGTAGAGCACCAACGTCTACCTAGGATATATTGGTGGAGCTTCGATCCTCGGTACCCCAAACCCAATGCAACAAGATAAAGAAGTTTGTCAACACAAAGTGAATCGTTATTTCGTCTGGGGTCCACAACAATCACGACAACAACCAACAACCAGCATTCTGGTTCGTCTATCCTCAAGCTATTCTGTGCTCATCATTATTGTCATCATTGTTCTTACTCGGAGACATTGTTACCACCCTAAAAGGCCAACCCCTTCAGCCGTCCCGGGGACCAGCAACTTTTCCAGGATACAACAGAAAAAGAACCCAGGATTCCTTGTTTCGTCACACCCCTCCCTCAACCATCAAGAGGTGATTTCGAAGACTGACATTTTCATCGACGACCACTGTGTTAACAACATCAAGTTCCACTTAACCAAGACATTTGTTTCATTCCGGTAATTCCTGTGTGTTAGTGCCAGCCACTATCTCAAAAGAAACAGTCCTCAAAGGCATTGTGATTTGCAGTGAATATTTGTTGTAATTAATGTGCTATAACCCTTCATATTTGTGACATTCGTAGGAACAGTTTTGGTAAGCATTATTTCATATATTGTATTACAATCAACAAGAATGACTTTTTACGCTCTGAAACCCCTCAATGCCAATGAACGTCTTCCCCTAGCCTCCCCCGAAGAAACTATTTTCACTCCCCGATGGGAAACCTTGTATGCAACCGGGTCACCACGACCTCGTTCACCACAGCCTCAACACCCCCAGGACCCCCAACAAACTCCCCCATCTTACTTGCCTCCTCCATCACAGTGTACCTCCCTCTCCTCCCCACCCCCCTCCCAATCTGAAATACCTGAAACATGTCAGCTGACCAATCGCCCGAGACCACACGCTGATAAACCTTCGTCCACTGATGATCGCACCTCTTTATTAAGACTCATTAACTGCTCCCGCCTCCCGCTCTCCATGTATGATGGCAAGGATTCCATTGCTGCTGTTTCATGGCTGAAACGCTTTGAAAACTTTGCTTCAGTACAAAAGTATTCTGAGGAAGACCAAACAAAAATATTCCCCCTTTATTTAACTGATCTCGCAGCTGAATGGTACGATGGTATCAACAATATTTCACTTATGTCTTGGTCTGAGTTGAGACAAGCCTTTTTACGGAGATATGCACCTTCCGCAGTAGGTCTTGTAACTCGACAAAATGATTTATTGGACAGAAAACAGAGGGAAGGTGAACCTTTCCGATCATTCCTCCAGTCCATAAGACATGAGGCAGAGCTTCTACAAAGAAATGAAGACATGTACATCAAAGATCTTATTCTCCGTAATGCTCTTCCCAATATCCGCATGTTCATCCTGACACGCCCCCTCACCTCCTTAGAACAGGTCACAGATAGTGCGGAGATAGCCGAGGCCATGTCAGGGTGGACTGACTCCAGATCTGATGAAACCATGACCGCTATAAATGAACTCACAGTTAAAGTCAATACTCTCAACACCCATCATGTCAATGCAATAGGATCAGATACTGGGCCAAAGAAAGAGCATTCATGTCAGTCAGGATCCATTCCATCACCATATCCCCAAGCACAAAATGTGAACCACGGGTCTCAGTCCCCAACTCATCAACCCAGGTCATCACAATACCGACCTTGCATGTATAATCAAGGACCCCAATCTGTGCCCTTTAACGACTCCATGGGATTCCAATGTGAAGATAACGCTCGTTCTCTTGACCAGTTCATGTGGTATCATCAAAACCTCTTGCTACGATGTCTTAGTATTGCTCATATGTTCACCACCCTCATTTTGACCATGTACCCTTTTGTAAACCTGGTGCTAACGAAACTCAACCCATACCTATCAACAGTCTATTAACGCTCATAGGATTTAATGTTCTTGTATTAAAGTGTACCCTTGGTGCGAGTGTGTGACAATGATGTCGAATTGTTTGAAGTTAATTACATCATTAAAAACAGTGTATTTTATGCAAGATGTCTGATTTTTTACGTAATATATGGATTATGACTGTGGAATAGTGCATCATTTTGTGAGTGTTCAAATATCATTATGTAATGTTCACATGTCTACTAGCCATTAACAGGTGTTCAGACGTATCATCTTTCATTATCTTTCATTTGGTGTTCCTTAGTAACTGCTCTTACCCATTATAGGCCTTTGCTAGCGGGGGTTGGAAATGAGTAGTTACGATTATCTGTCCCTATGTGATTCTTAATACATCATTGAAAATGAATGCATATATATTCCCTATGTGAGCTGTTGTCTATTGATGAAAAATGTCAATCCTGTTTGAAGTATAAATGTGTGTTGAAAGTAGGTTTAGAATAGGCTTGTCTTATGTACTGTAAAGTGGAGAGAGAGAGTGAAGGAGTAAGATAGCTGCTGATAGGATAAATGAACAAAGAGATGACAGAATACAAAAGAAAAACTGACATGTATGGTAGATAGGGTGGGTCAGAGAGAGAGAGAGAAAGGAAAGGAGAGAGAGAGTAACAGAGAGTGAGAGGGGTGTAGTGTGGGTGCGAGAGAGAGAGAGAGGAGGGAGAGAGAGAAAGGAAAGGAGAGAGTGAGAAGATATAGCGTGGTTGCGAAACAGAGACAGAGAGAGGTGAAGTGTAAGCGCGAGAGGACAGATGTAGAATTGGGTGAATGAAGTGTTTGTCCGCATGGGAATTATGAACTGACAAGAAAAATAGAATGAAAGAAAGTGAGTGAAGCAGAGCATAAGTGAAAGCGTTGTTTGTGAGGAATGGAAATAACGAGAAGAGGGAATAAGAACAAGACAGAGCAACCGCTGTTATAGTCATCAATGTCTTTGTTCATTTTTTTAATTGTACATATTCATGTATTGGTATATTTGTAACGTGTAACTTCCTTGTCTGTATGAATAGCAATGCATCGATGTAACCACTGTATTCATTGTACGTATGTAGTCATATTGTCGTTACTGGAAATATTTCTGTGTGAAATTGTATCCAGTTCGACAGCAGTGTTTGTAGATAAAAAAAAAAATCGTGGTCCACACACAAAATGATGTACATTACATCAAATTCTCAGTTTCAATTTTGTCCAGTTAAAAAAGGAAAGAAAAATTGCTTTATGTACTTTTTGCTTGTTTATACATTTCATATTGTTTTAAATATGTGGTTATATTGATTGATTGTCCACCGTTCCTCATTCCCAATTCCTTATAAGGACGTGGGACACGTCCTTCTTTACAGAAATGGCATATATCATAGGCAGTTTGGCAGGGTATATAGGTTTTAACAGGGAGTCTATATATTTTAACAGGGAGTGTATATACGTTTTATATATTCCCTTAATTAAGTAAGTTGATTATATCTATTTAAATAAACAGAGTGCTGCTAATACAAATTATAACAGCAGCTGGGGTATCATTACCATGGCCAGCAGCACAGAGTCATGTGCGGGTCAGCGGGTTGTAGTTAATGCCAGAGAATGGCCGGTTGGCCACTGAAGCTTAACTTTGTGGAAGAGGTGCGGGATACTGCAGGCTGACCATGTATGTAACGTAACACGATACATTGCAGTCTGACAGTGAGGGTTAAAGATAGTACGCTTTCTGTTAGTCGGGACGTGACCCTCGGACAGCGGCTAGGCAGATTGGCTCTCTTACGCCTCAGAGATCCTGCTTGGCCATACTTCTATGTAGCTATATAGACATATTAAGATCACGAATAAACGTTGTGGACCCACAGACGGACTTGTGTGTTGTCATAAGAGAATTATCCGGTAGAGCACCAACGTCTACCTAGGATACTTGTGTTGAATTTGAATCAAACAGATACTATTTCAACATTATTATTGTAGGCAAAGTTCCACAATATTGACAATTTATATATAATTTATTAAAATACGACAGTGCGACAACATGTGTCTCATGTGTCTCTGGGTTTGATATCGTAATTTGAAACCTCTGACAGACAAATGCGAATCGATTATCTTGTTTATTATGTTACATACGTTTGTGGTGACTTATGGATCCTTTCGCTAAACGATGATGGTTGCTATATGTGGCCATAGTTTACTTTATATGAAAGGATATATTTTTTCATAATAATTTACTTTTGTTTTAAAATGAAGATCTTTCTGTTTGTCTTTCTTGTTTGATATTGAAAACTTTTCAATTGCGTTTCTTTCCAGATTTTCCCTGTGGGGATTCCAGGTTAGAATAGTTCCCCAGCAGCCTGGCTAGTCCTGAGAGGCCACCAAACAGATCTGGTGGTCAGGCTCCGTGACTTGTGAGGGAGTGAGTGAATGAGTTGGGTTTAACGCCCTATTAACATTATTCCAGTTATATCGCGGCGTGTCAGCTTAATGTGGGAGGAAAGCCCAAAGTGATGCAGGTCTCAAACGTTTACCACTTCGGTGAAACCCACGATCACGGGTATGGTGCTGACAAAGCTAGAAACATAATTGGGGTGAACCGGGATTCGAACCCACAATCACAAGTCTCTGGCGTGCCCAAGGGACGCAACTCTGCAAAGCGAATCGCGGCGCCTTAGACGAGGGTCATCTCCAAATTCGAAGAACCGCCTCCGTGGTCTAATGGTAGATCCCCAGCCGCGTCATACCAAAAGACGTTAAAAGATGGTACTTGTTGTTACCTTGTCTGGCGCTAGGTATTAAGGGGCTAAAACAAGGACTGGTCGGCTCGGAGTCAGTATACTGTGTCTGAGTGGGGTATTCATGTTAAACTGCGGCTTGGTATCTGTGTGCTAGCACTATAAATCGGCATCAGTCCGGACTAGTACAAGCAGTCACACACACACACACACACACACACACACACACACACACACACACACACACACACACACACACACACACACACATACACATTCATGCACGTCGCTAAATAAGTGCAATAATCTTGGACGCGACGTTAAACCCGATTTCACCTCACCTCACCTAATTCGAAGACAGCGGGCGGGAGAAAGACCTAGCAGCATGCAGACGACCAGTGGATCAGCGTAAAAACAGTGAGGTTGCAGGATTGATTCTCGTCATGGAAATCCATGGCACAAACCAACATTAGATGCAAATTTAAAGGATGTTTCTCAGCATGCCTCTCAAGTATTGCGTCGCACAAGGTTACAGCGAGATAGCAAGATATATGCAGTAATATAAACAAGTGGCAGTAGGTTCCTAAGGTAAGATAGAACAAAGTGAAGTAGGTGACTGGTTGATTTGCCAGATTGTCTGAAGTACAGGGAATTGTTGCCATCTTGACTTATCATGACTCACGTTTTATGTGATGTCATGTGCAAATAAAGACTAGATTCATGTCAAATGACTCATCTAAGTTTCCAGTTTCATCTTATGGACATTTCACGTAACACTTGTATGACGACTACTACTCACCAGTTTCATGAGGTCAAGGTCGCGCCACAAGGTCATGTTGTGGCGAGCGTGTATCAGGTACTTTACCGCAGCGAGGAAAGCATCATCCCTTGCATGGTATCCCCAAGGACGGCCGGAGTTGTTGGGTCGGTTCTGCAGGTGTGACGGCACTCTGTGTTCAGCTCTCTGCATGTGTGAGACTAACTGTAACATTTGTCGGTGTATCACTTGAGCCTGTTCCAGTTTGAAAGGGTGCAGCATTTCCATCACGATGTTCCTAATGCAGGACAAAAGAAAGACAACTCCAAGAAATGTTGCCACGATGGTCAGCTTATTCCTTCCTTTGAGCTTCATGCTGGAATGACAGAGCGTTCATACATTTACGTCTGTAATTTTACAGAATCAGTCACATATGCTTTATCTGTCACCAGACACTAGTGTTTCACTCCACGGCGCGCAACAGACTTGTAATTGCACCACAGCTGCGTAGCCAGATATTGGGAAGGTCATATATTGAAACAATTGATATTTATATATTAATATAATATAATTATATGTGCTATCATATAACCAATATTTCTTGATGGAGCACCAAATTAACGAAGCCACAATTTAATAAAAGTAACTGTATCATTGGTGGGAGCTTTGTCGCCAAATGACACGGGTCCAGTGTACGAAAACACGCACGTCAATACAGATAAGAGGCCGCAGATATGACTAAACCTCATTTCAAGTCTTATTTTTCTCAAACTTGTTGTTCTACGAAAAAAATAGAGAATTATAAGAAATACGTTTAGACTTTCAACGAACCTGTGAACAAAGGACCGTACAATAACTAGAGTATCACAGACACATTAAAACTAGCATGAAACCATAAACATGAATCAGTATACGTCACAATTCACGATAAAAACGATCTAGAAATCGCCAGCAACCAACAATACTAGGCACCAAAGGGGATCCGGACATACAGGATCTCTGCAACCTGCACGGTTTCACAGCAGCATTTACACTAACCCTTCAGCTGCCGGCGATTGTTGTCAATTTTAGCCATCAATTAAAATTATGAATATACGATTATCACAAATGTGGTAGGCCTAAATTTCTCTTTGAACGATGTGGAACTTAGGTTCTCTCTCAGGGGGACAATAACTTCACAGTGCATTTACCCCTTTTGAGGAAACATCCACTGACAATTTCAGTTGCTAATTTAATCTAGCAATTTTATAACATCTATTTTATGACAAAATATCTTAATCAGAATTTTGCAAAAAACTGTTTTCCTTAAGTATAGGAGAAACCATTTCTACGAGGGATTACCAGCGATTGTAAACCCTGACATGAGGTAACATACCGAGGGGGACGTAGGCCGTAGGCCCCCAAGGTATGTCACCGAATGTCAGGGTTTACAATCGCTGGTAATCCCTCGTAGAAATGGTTTGTTTAACTTATAAACCGACTCATCGCATAGACAACGTTTTATAACTATTTTATAAATAACTGCAATAAAAACTCTCAAATGTATAACCTGTATCGGAGATGAAATATCGCCTGCAGTCGTGAACTCGGTTCAATGAAACCGGTGACCTCAGCACGGTGCGAAATCTGCACGTGCGTCTCGTAGGCTGAGACTATTACACGTTTTGCTTTGACTGACGTTCATTAATTGGATCCCAGGAGAAAGACCTGGATGATTTTCAACTTCGTTTTGGGGAACCAATGACGGAGGAGATCATGGGAGAGAAGATGAAAAGTACTGTTTCTAAGCAAACTGGAATGAAAAATGACTGGGCTGTGGGTATTTTCAAGCATGGCAACAGGAGAGAATGCAACGCTCAGTCATTCTGCAACCTTTTTGATGACGACAAATTTAAAGAAGCGAGAAAATCTCTCGATGCAGTAATGAAAGAAAGGAGTGGTCAGGGATTCGGCGCGTCAACACGCAAGTCGACAGAAGTTATGTCCGAGGAGGAGGAACAGCAATTGTGGGAGAAGGGTATGCTTTGAGACTCTACTCCCCAGACACTACTGGATACAGTTTTGTACCTAACTGGTGAGTGTTTATATCGTACTAAAGGGCAACGAACATCTCTGCTCAGCTGAGTCGAAAATAGGCTATATGTCTGTCAATTCCGAATATGTATTTATTTATTGAAATAAAATTGAGTGGTTAATTTGAAATTTGTTTTAGGTCTCAATTTTGCATTGCGGGGAGGAGAGGAGCACCGCAATTTGAGGATGTTTAACATCATTAAGTTGTACAATCAAGAAGCTGTGTGTCAAGGCTGGCATCGTTGGGAAGAAAACTAACCACTCGCTTCACGAGACTGCTGCCACTCTACCAAGCTAACATAGATGAGCAGACCATTTGTGACCAAACTGGGCATCGAAGCGAAACCGTACGTGTGTACAAGCGTGCAAGGGAAGATCAGAAAGCGGTTGTTTCCGAAATTCTGTCGAAGGCCTGTAAAACGGAGTCAGCTTCCTGCACAGCATCTTCTACTGTTTCTTGTGGTGTTGACCTGGGTGAACCAACCACAGCCGGCGTAAAACCTGGAATCTCTCTGACATTCAACTCTCTGAAGTGAAATAAAGCTTGGCATCTCTTGTTGTAGTTTTTGTTCTATCAAGGGTTTACAATGATTGTAGGCCCTCCTGCGAGATGTAACAATCGTTGTAATACCTCCTACGAGGTGTTACCACAATTTCAAAAACTCCATATCGAGTTACACAAACAGCCAGAAGGTTTATAACAGATAATATTTAAAATATTGATCTCGTGTGATCCATACTGCGAAGATAATTTAACCCAATGTTGTTTAAGGGACTACTCACCAGCCTCTACATACACACTTCAAAATTGGAGGCTCCAAGTCAAAGCCTCATTTAATCTAAAAAAAAATTCATATTGCTTTTACAAGCCCTGCTCTGGCGGACATCGTGGACCTGATTATCATGAGCAAACAGGGTAGAACCCGTGCGCACCTGAAGTGCCTGTCAGTTAAAACCAGGGATAAAAACTGAGCCAAAAAGTCTCGCAATCTAAAGTCATGAAAATCTTTTGAAATATAGAGTTTCCATGCAGTGTCATATATCCTTTTTCTAGATAAAAAAAGATAAACACTGCCCAGTGCTTGTTTATGACTAAATGGCTAGTGGTACTGCGATTTTAACTTAAACCACATTGAATATTTTTGAATAGTTTCTTAATGTGAAGTTTTACACGATATACGACTTTTCCACTGGACGACAAACTGACGTTTATATGTGTGTAACGACACATTTTGACGTTCATACGTTATTCACAAGACTGCATTCTTTAAATGACGTAAACACTGACAAACTACTTACACATACCTGGGAAAACCTCTGGGAATTCCTTTGCATACATACAGAATCGTTGTTTCTGAGCATTTTTACCCTTTTATCTTGAACGATGCGTTTTAGCATTCATTGAGAAAAGTAGGACAGTTTGACTGCTTGAACGTGCACAAATACCCTCGCTATGACCGATCCTGGTGAAGAAAATGAAGCAATGCACATCCAAACTATTGTATCGACTCGATTCTCGTCCAGACTGTGAGTGAAAGTCTTCAGCAATCTATGTTGTTGTTTGTTTGTTTTTTTTGTTTTTTTTTGGGGGGGGGGTTCCTACTGTTTTGAGCATTTTTTATTACTGAGATAAATAGTTAGATGTAAAAGAATGTTTAACCAGGGTTTCACCAAGTATATTTGCAATATTCGATTTATCAGGTTACAATTGATCCCTATTTATGAGGTTGTGTGTGCTACATTTCGAACACTTACCCTTAATTTCCTGAGTCATACCATCTGTTTCATGCCATCGACGTGGGCGTACGTGAATGTATTTCCGACACATAGTTTTGCCAAGACGTATTTGTTTTGTTTCAATGTACGCTGGGCTTTATCATTGACAATTTTCAATGTATTTAGATTATGTACCATTGGATGGCGTCGGGAGTACTGTTCAGACTTTTCCTTTGCTCTCATAGCTTGTTTGCATTGTGTACGTATATGAAGCTTTACAGGGGACTTCGGAATACATTCATCAGCTATTTTATGATGTTTGTATAGGGTCGGGAACATAAGGTTTTAGCTTGTTAGTGCAAAGGATTTCACATAACACCAAGCTGGCTTCAGCAAAATTCCATCTTGATGATGGAGGAGCAACAGATGGTGTCACATATTTTAATATAACAGGAAGAGGGTCACTTCCACAGAGTTCATTGTGGACTGACCAATCAAATTCGCCTAGTTATTTAATATCTACAACTGACAAGAGTACGTTCCAGTTGCAGGATATAGATATGCGTTTGAACCATCATTTAAAATGCGTAAATCGTAAGTTACCCTTTGTATTGCTTTCATCATTACCCAGAAGTGGGTTATGGTCATTTAACGATTTAATGATCACACGTGGCATAGGGAACTGAACATGCAGTTCCTGAAGATCAGGCTGCCGACGAGAATGCGATGTAAGAACAATATGCAATGTTATACGTCTTGCAACAGCCTGAAGAGGAGCATTTAGAGGAACAGGCACCCTGCCTTACTACAACCGCAGATTCCCCAATAACTTGATCACCTGGTGGAATGTGTCACCAACACCCCATTCCTTGCCGTAAAAGGCGAGTAAATTAGGCAACCCGTTTAACGTGGGTTGCGAACCTGTGTCGGTGGAGGATGGGAGTCTCGTGGTTGAGGGCACTGGAGCCAGTTACAGGTGTCCCTATTACCCAACATACCACTTACTTCACCTAGACGGGTTGTAGAATGGGCCAGCTTCTATCAATCAGCTGGTCGAACAATGCCCTGTACATCGACATTTGAATTTTTCAAAACATTATTATCATAACAATTGCTTTTATTTATGATATATCAATTCTGATATTATACATTTTGCCTATGCCAGAAGGCAGTAGCTCGTGGGCCAATCTGGTTATATAAACCTCTAAATGTTGTGTTCTCTAGAAATGTGGCATGGACCGAACCAGCCTGGCACTTATTCATTAAGATATTATGGCTGTTCATGTTTGTGTGGAACCTTTGTAGCCGTGGTGCTGCAGTCAGGATTTCGCTCCAACATCGTCCTTCGATAGCTTGTGGGGAGCAAGGGTCCTGAATTATATTATTACACAATGTTTCAACACACTCAATCATGTTCATGTAAGTATTACGAACCTATACACAGAACTGCATTTCTTAGTTCTCTTAGCTCCTCCAAATACTGTTTTGGGCCTCGGTTTATTGTTACTGCATCAGCATATGGCATTTCAATGAAATTAAACCCGTTTGCTATCTCCAAGGACATTGAAAGTGTCTGCGGAGAAGAAACAACATGGTAACGTAGACACAATATATCGATAACAAC